TTGTCAATTTTAGCTTGAGAAGCCGTTGGCAGGCGATTATACTTAAGGTTCATGCGCCAACAAGACATAGTTGGCCATATCGAATATGGTATGCAGCATTGTAGAGACCTGGGCCCACTTGAGTCCCACAAAGTAACGGCTGCCCACAACCTGCCAATATTCAAATAAATATAAAACATTATAGAATATACTTGGATGGCAACCTTTCCTGTAGCTGCGTCGTGAATGCTGGCGCTGCTGTGCTGCTACTCCCACAACGAAGCTCTCGGGGATACATAAGCGGCTAGCATGCAGCGTCTCGTGATTCGCAAACAGCTTCCCTACATAGAGGGTACAGACAAATTTGAACGATGAATAGTGGTCGTTTCAGCTCTACTTTTTGAATTTCATTTCTGTTGTACTCGGGATTAGGGTTCCTTTGCTCTGCCTGTTCAGTGGCAAGGACAGCAGGGACGACAGGAGAGGCCCTCGAGTTTTCACTTGTGTGCTTCTTGTGTCCTAGGGCTACGTACAGGTTCACGTGCACACTTTAGATAGACTTCGGGCACCGTCCGCACAGCTACCCAAACGCCTGGAGATGCTGGAGAGGAGGAGGTATGCCATGTGTTGCAACGCACCGTGAAGCAACTCGCGGTGGAAAACAGCCCCACATGCAAGGCCAAAACACTTGCCACACGCACAAATCCTGTAGGCAATTGTTGTCAATTTTAGCTTGAGAAGCCGTTGGCAGGCGATTATACTTAAGGTTCATGCGCCAACAAGACATAGTTGGCCATATCGAACATGGTATGCAGCATTGTAGAGACCTGGGCCCACTTGAGTCCCACAAAGTAACGGCTGCCCACAACCTGCCAATATTCAAATAAATCTCTCGTGTCCAAGACAACTCGGTTCTTCCCGGCGTAAGCGCAGCGCAAGCCACCCGGCTGGCAGCTGCCGATACAGCGCACGATGGCAGGTCTTCCATCTTCCACGAGGACGGTTTGGGGGGCCTTGTGCGGGGCAGTATTCGGGGGAACCTGCAGAATCGAAGAGAAAATGTATCTCCAGTCGTGGCGCAGATGCTGTATGAAGATATGCTGCTCGGCCGCTACGTAGAGGACGCCTGTGCTCGACTGTACTATCGGGGAAAAACTGCCGGGTTTGTTCATCTGTACACTGGACAGGAGGCGGTGAGCAGCGGTGTGCTGAAGCTGCTGCGGAAGGACGATGCAGTTGCCTCAACGTACAGAGACCACGTCCATGCAACCAGCAAAGGGGTGCCCCCCCGTGAGGTCTTCGCGGAGCTCTTCGGCAAGAAGACGGGATGCTCTAAGGGTTTCGGCGGCTCCATGCACATGTTTTCCAAGGAGTGGAATCTCTATGGGGGGTTTGCTTTCATAGGCGAGCAGATTCCTGTAGCACTCGGTGTCGCCTTCAGCCAGTTGTACAGACGCCTAGCTGAGCGCGAGCTGCCCGGCGAGAAGGACCAGGTGTGTCACCGGGTTCTGCAGAACGCTCCTGTCTCCTTAACATCCTGCCCTCACTGCATACAGAATTCAGTTCCTTAGGTAAATTGATGCGTGCTTATGCATAACGGCGGCTTGTACACCTATATAGGCCACTTATGTTGCAAGCCATAAAGCCCCGGGCGCATGCTTGCCTGCCGGTGTTGGGCACTAGGAGTCGCAGGCGCGCACTGAGAGGGAAGGACTCGAGGGCGTCTAGGTTCCTGCTGACTCCGTTGCAGGTCACTGTCTGCTTTATGGGCGACGGCACGACCAATATGGGGCAGTTCTACGAGGCTATGAACATGGCGGCTCTAATGAAACTTCCGGTGATCTTCGTTATCGAGAACAACAACTGGTATGTTGCACTTGTCCAGCTACGCCCTTTCTCTCGGGTCGATGCGTGAAGCGCCTCTAGACAAACATCAAACTGTACACAGATGCATTCTAGCTGTGCATACTAAATGCAACATGCCTTCTGTACCAACGCAGTGTGCATTTGCACCAAGTGTTGTGTTTTTCTGGTGCTTTTTGTTGGGGTGTCTGATGACTCTTGTTTGGCACTACTGCAGGGCCATCGGCATGGCGGCGCAGCGCAGCACAGCAGTGCAGGAAATCCACCAGCGAGGCCCCCCCTTCGGCGTTCCCAGTGTGGAAGTAGACGGCATGGATGTCCTGGCTGTACGAGCAGCCGCCCGCCAAGCCATAGAACGAGCACGCAGGGGGGAGGGACCATCTCTCATAGAAGCTCTGACCTACAGATTCCGGTGAGTGAAGACCGTAGCCACGCGGCGGGCAAAATGCTTTTTTTGGTCTTAGCCCTGTGTTTGAGGTTTCTCTATCAAGGGTCTAGGCTGTGTTGTAGTTTGCCGCGGCTGCTGCAGAGGGCACTCACTGGCAGACCCGGACGAGCTCCGCTGCACCCACGAGAAGGCGGCATTTGCAGTGCGCGACCCCATAAAGCACTTTGAGCAGTACATGTTGGAAATGGGGTATGCAAATGAAGAAACTTTGGAACTGACACGAAACAAGGTGAGGCGCAGCGCCTTCTTCAGTCTGAGGACAGTGTGGCTGCTCTCGTTTGTGCGTACACTGCAGAAATGGAGAGTCGTAGCAGACAATTCGTTTGTTTGGGCACTGTGCCGACCCGTAGGCTTCATATGGATGCATGCCCGCCGACGTTTATACTGCAGCTTGTTTTTATCGTCCGCCGACTGCAGCGTCGCTGCCCTTCTTCAGAAGCGTACCGCTAGCTCAGTTGACGTGCGGTTGTATTATGCACAGTTCATGTAGTACTTATGACGCCAGTTGTTCCGGTTGCTTGTGGCAGGTACGAGATGTTGTGGAGGAGGCCGTACAGTTCGCAGACAGTTCTCCACCACCGGACCCCGCGACTGCAGGCGATTCGACGTTTGCACCGGCATACGAGGCAAAGGGCTTTGACCCGCTGACTGACGAGCAGCTTGCGGCTTATGCTCAAGCCTTGAAGATTGAACTGGACCGCGAGGCTCGAAAGGCGAAAGGGGAGCGGGCGGTACCGCCCCCAGTTGAAAATAACCCCAACCCCCCCATTGTCATCGATTGAGCCCCACACACAATGCAGCTTGCAGGCGCGGAGGCTCCTACTACCAGCCGTTGCACCCCACAGCGTCAACTCTCACTTGCACCTCCCTGCTATATTCTGTAAGGGCGCGCGCCGATCGTTGCTTCTGACAAAACGAATACAAGGCCTGGCTTCGACTGTGGAGTCCACATACGCAGAAGCACCAGGCCACTATAACTGGGAAGGGAGGTGCAGCAGCTGAGCCGCCTCTAGAAGATCTGGGCCTTCTTGTGCCTTCACAGTTCAAGTCGTTTGTTAAGGTATTACATACGTAGTGATTGACCTCAGGTAGCCGTGTAGCTGTACACATCGTCGTAGTCCACGATGCAGACCCCTGCCAAAAGAAGAGAGGGGAACGAACGCGTTGCGAGACACAGTCGATCACGACGATCTCCGTGTGACTTCCTCATTCTGCCACGTGTATATAGCAGTCGGCGAAAAAGAAGCCGAGACGAGGGGGACGCCAGGGGCATGATGCATTCGTGGAAATGTCCCCACCGGCTCCATATGCTCAACGGCAGCTAAACACCGGAGCCATAGCTAGCTGGAACTGCGTACCCAGACGCATTGGCTACTTGTATGCCATAGGGAGAGCTTAAATTGTTAGTTAGTTGCCGGTAGCTAGTGACGAAGTGCGTAGAGTGGGGAATTCATGGAAGCCCCGTACAAAGTGAATAGCCAATATGGCATGTGGCTACACTCTCTAACAGCAGCTAGGACGATGTTGTTGCTGTTTCGTATTGAAATGCTTTAAGTTTCCTACCACTGTATCTTTAGTCTGTGGTTGCAGATAAACCTTTCGTGCCGTGTGGCAACACCAGTGGGAACTGCTGCTAAGCGCACAGGTGGCGACGAGAACCGATCCATTCCCATTTTCTGCTAGTGGGTTTTTATGCTGAAAGACTCCAAAACTTAAGTGAATTAAATATGCTAGAAGGCTGTCGGAGGAATGAAAACCTAAGCTAGAACAGCTCATTGACTGCGTTGGATGTTCCGCCTTCCTTGCAGGTGGCAAGAGCGCAGAGTAAACAGGATGGCGTTGAGCGGTCTGTGAGCCGTCTAGTTTCCAATTAATCATTCGCCGCCCTTATTGAAACTCATATGCGCCGTCCTGTAATTCAATAGACTTGATGGGCAGGCTGTGTGTGCCCATGGGGCCCCCTCCATTCATTGACTTGCATGACAGGTACCCTACGTTCTTCTCGGTGGGAGCTATTGAGAATTTCTCTACCATATCGAGGAGAGCAACTATGTGTTTTTGTTTTTATTTTGTAGGACACCAGAAATAAGCGTCCGGCCAATAGTGGGTGTGATCACCCGCACAATACTTCAGTTCACACGCTTCCCAAGAGCACGCCAACTCGGCGGACTGGCATATGCTTCCAACGCCTTTCCCCAGCAACTTGAAGTGTTCCCGAGGCAAACGCAGCAACTTTACTTCGGTTTTCGAGCCAGTATATTCTGCAAAGCGACTGGCACTGGAAAGTGGGGAGGATTCCTTGGGTCTGCCTCACGCAGACGGCGAGGCTGAGGGCAATCGCAATCTCGCCGAAGAAAGAGGATCCTCCACTTCAGCATTCGGAACCAAAGCTTGCACCAGCAACTGCAGTTGCGAAGGGCTTCCTGCCACGAAGCAGGAGTACTTGCTCAACTACTCCGCGGCCCAGGACAAGCCTATCACTGGGCGCCCACCGCAGGTGCACAACGGACTTGTCTCAAGAGCACTGCAGATATCTGGTGTTCGTCGTCTCGCAAAGATGGAAGGAGCGAGACAATCCCAGCGAACCCCTGAGGAGGTAGAGCTGGCGCTGGAGGTGCTCAACGATGAACTGGCTGGGGCGTCACCGCTGGACCGTCCGTCTCTTGAACTCGCGACACAGGCCTTAACAGATCGTCTTGTTGAGCTTAGGAAACAACAGAGAGGGTCCCCAAACCCTCCTGAGGCAGCAGGAGGAGCCAAACAGAGCACCCGCGAGTACTCATCGTCTTTGCAAGCCGTCATCTTGGGGGACGGCAAACAGAAGTACACTCTGATTAAAATACCTAAGCAAGATGATATGCACAGCGACATTTACCTTGTACGTGGGGACCCCAAGGCGGAGTACCACTATCAAACGGCTCTCGATACGCTGAATGCTCTTCAGTCGAGAAACATCTTGTCTGGTAACTCCGCCCGTGCTTGACCTCAATTGACCCTTTGTCTATCGGAACCCACCCCTAGCGCATATGTCAATCACTCTTATAAGCCATAACGACTCCACTTAACCCCTCTCGTGGCCGTGTGGATTGCTGCTGAGATATGGCGAATGTACAGCGGTTTACCGGAGCTGTAGTTTGCATCGAATCGAACTATTGTGACTGTGGAATGACCAGGAGTGTCAGTCATTCAGCGTCCCTGTCGATCTTGTGTCTGCTAATGCCTATATGCAGATGTCACGGGGGGAGGGCGTATGGACGTGTTGCGTGCTGAAAAGAAGGTGGAGATATACGGCTACTCGTATCAGTACGGAGCTGCTGATCACTCTATCACGGCAAAGATGGTTAAGGAATACTTGGGCGACGAGTTCATCGTCTCGTTTGGCAACTACGGCTATTAGGCGTGAGGCACCGGTCCAGGCAGCTACGCCCTCAACACAGCAGCAGTACCCACACCGTAGCTTTGCATGCATCTACATAACCCAGCAGGAGCCCGAATGGGTGCCTTGGCAACTTTCGCCACTTTTTGCACGCACATTCGGCTTCACCGGTGTACGCACCAGGCTTACCTCACAGCCACAGCTCATTAGTTTTTTAAGTACAAGCAGTAAGAGAACAGCCACAAGTTGAAGTGCGTGTAAGGTATCTTGGTGGCTTATGAATGCAGAGTTGTACGATTATTGTCAGTAACCGGAGTTCGGTAGTGCACCAGAATAAGGTAGCAACAAGTGAGGTCACCACTAATGAGCAGTCGGAGCAGTCGGGTTCGCCCTTAGTGGCGGAACAGTAACGACCTGGACAGACGCTTTTTAATCCATAGGCTGTTGACGAAGTGGCAATGCGTGACCCGTGGCCTTGACCCTGACCATGACCGAGATAAAACAACCGCCTTGCTGCAGAATACATCTCAGCCCGTTACAAGGTACTTGCCGTCGGCTACACTATCACGTCTACCCAATTTGACTTGTAGGCACTTCAGTGCGGCGGATTGAGGCCCCCTGCGCTTCATTTAACCTGCGATTACGATCGAAATCGGCCTCTTTCTGTGAATCGACACACGCAAGAACAGTTACTTTGGTGTTTCTGCAACTCATGGACGAGGTGTCTAGGGGCGCGAGCTAGGAACGACACTGCATTCCTGCGCTGAAAGACCTGATTTGCGGAGTGAATCCGTCAAAACTACGGGATAATTGGGATCATGCGTCTTCGGTATTTTGCTTTCCTCTTCGGCGGGGTTTTGCAAGTGTGGTCGCAGACGGTTTCTTCTTTGAGTGCGACGCTGTTCAAGGGTCGTGTGCACGAAGTACAGCTGTTCCACCGCTTTCTTTCCAGACACGGGGGAATCTAGAATTTCATCAGGCTTTGGCGTTTCCACGGTTCGAAGTGTCATTTCAAGCTCTACAAGGAGAGGAGCTGGATAGCGAAATTGACCATGTGGAAGAAGGCGTGGCTGCGCTGAAGGAGCGGCAGGATGAGGCAATTCAGTGAGAACAGCACAACACAGCCCAGTTCTCTCAGGCGTCATGCATACACCGTGTCGTGTTTGCCAAGGGCATCTGCTGATTCTGCGGAGCGCAGAGCTCAGAAACTCGCAGAGAGTTTCAGTGGTACTAGGCGCCGCAATGTGCAACAGGCGAAGAACAACGAAGCAACTGCAGCGGGTGATTCTGTCTCTAAAGAAAAGGCTTCTTTTCGCATACCCGCGGCAAAGAGGTCACTCGTCGAAACCAAGCCGACTGACTGCCTGCCTGAATCAGAAGCGAATGTCGCAGCAGTCCCGCCCGAGGTAGGGTTGTTCTTTGCCACCAGTTTTGAGAATAGATGGAGGAGGCACTTGTTTAATTCGCGTAGGAAATTATGGAGGCAGAACGGACGGCTGAAGTGCCCAAGGGCGAAATAGAAATGTAAGCAGATGAGCACAGGCTTGCCAAGGTTGGCTAAGGCACCTGAAGTCACGAATAATACAACTTCCCCTGCAGACTGGAGAAGACACTTGAACGGTAACAATTGAAGGGCGGAGCGGGGAGAGATGGCGAAAGTAGTTCGTTTTTTTCACAGATTGGCGCCAAAAGAACATGCAGCAGAAGGCACCGCAATCGCGGTTGTCGCACATCCCACGCCCCTGCAGCCAGCGACACAGAAAGAGGTTCTGCAGGACGTGCTGGCTGCGGAGGAGGAGGTGCGCGAGGTGGAAAGCCAGCAGCAGGCTGAAGCAAACAAAGAGATCGAGGAGGAGCTGCAACAGCTGTTAGAGGAGCACCAACACGCCCATGCTGCGGCTGCTGCAGCGTCTGCAGCACACGAAGCAGTAGAAACACAAGCAGCCAGAGCATCTGGAGCGGAACAAGGGGTTGTGGCTCACTCCCAAGGCAAAGGAGTCCATGCGGCCCAATCATCAGCAATGGCTGCACCTGCCACGGCTTCCGAATGCGGCAGCAGCAACATATCAACTGCACCCGTAGCAGGAGGCACAGAGGCAGCAGCAACACAAGCAGAATGGAAGGATAAGACAAAGAGAAACGGAGGCAAAACAGCGGCAGATGACGATGGGAACCCGAAAATAGACCCCCACTGCAATACAACCAACCATCGAATTCATGAAGACAGGAAAAACAAAACAGATGCTGCAAACAACAATCAGCGGGAAAAGGCAGAGAGAACGGTCGGAGGCTCAATTAAACCTGGACGCAAACCCCCTATCTAGAATTGCATTCCAACTATCTAGAATTGCATTCCAACACGAGGATAATCGGACCAGCTGCTTGTGGAGCATATCACATGCATGATACCGCTATTGCTGTTTCTTCGACTTATGCTACAGCGTCAGCGCCTGAATCGGCAGCCGCAGGCAATGGGCAATGGCACTCTCCCACCAACTGCTTTCATTCCTTGGCTACTGTTCTGTGCGAGCCTACACAGTAACCGTGTACGTGACTGTGTACTTTTACATCTTTACTGTTCCATACTCCAGTACAATTTTTGCACATAAATCCGTCCTACATTATAAGTTTTGCATGCAGAGGGGGGAACCACCTTCGAATCTGCCGATGGCATGAACCACCTTCCTTCAAGTCTGCCGATGGCACGACTACACTGCTGAATATTCAAACGTTCTCCTGGGGGATATGTTACAGCTGCAATTGTTTGGTTACCTCAAGAGAACAAACACTATTTTAATGTTTCCTCGCTTGAGTTAACCAAACAGCTGCAGATGCTGCATCTGTAGTGTACGACACTACAATAGGCCCTTGAGTAGTAATGCGGGTATAAGTCTGAGAGGAGGCAAAGGTATTGCTAAATGTTAAAGATCACAAAAGCTCCAGGGACAGCCGACCCTTTGACTGTGCGTGCCTGGATATCTTGCCCTTCTTTAGTTTCGGCAAAGCCTCCTGCCCACGGCTGCATGTTCTGTATTTTCTTGCCTATCTGTATCTATGCTTAGGGGGTAGTTCCGAGCTGTCGCTACTGCCGTTGAACATTCCTGCCATTTTTCCTTCTGTGTACACCTCAGAACTGTTGCGCAAAATGCTCCTCCGTGTGACACTCGAGACAATACAGGGCACAAGGAAAACTTAGGGCAGTTGCAAGTAAATAGAGACGACAGAGAAAAGGTTGGCTCGTGCCACCAAGCAGAACGCAACTTGGTGCAAACGACCAAATCCAACATCAAAACACAAAGTACAAGAACAAGATCTTCGTCTAACAACACTCAGCACCAGTCAGGTGGCGGCTCTTCAAAATGTTCTTTTCCTTGAGACAGCCATCATCATGATTCGCACGTCTGTCTTGTTCCGTTTCCTCATTGCAGGCGCCAACAACCACCAGTCACGGTTACAGTTGCGCCGCCGCTGCTTCTTTTCGCCGCCGCCCCTTTCCGAATACGCTGGGCACGCCACACGCACACCAAAATGGATAGGTCCACCAAACGCAACTGCTGTACGTCAGGAAGTAAAAGCAGCAAAAGCCTTACAGAATCCAGCAGCGCATGGAAAGAACAGCCTGGCCTCGAGCAGCTACAGCATTCTGAGCGTGAGTAGGGGTTGGGCTGGCAAGAAACAGCAAGTGGACTACTTCAAAGCTACACTTCTAGTAGTGGCGTTGCCGCCGAAGAGGCACTATTCGGCGGCAACCCCTCCTCCCCATTGATGTGCATGATGCACGGACCTACGTAAACGTCACCGCGGAGACACAAGATCATACTCACAGGCAACACGTACAACCCATGCAGAGGAAAGAATTCACCCAGAAATGACACAACTACATTCAGGGAGATGAACTACCAACGGATGTCTGCGCCTGTACAGCTACAATGAAAAATATATTGCTGGATACGGCACCACGTGTGGGCATATGCACCTATTTGAATGTGTGCTCACACTGAATGAGAACGACACCTCAACAAATGTACAAAAAAATTTGTACATTTGTGCATGTACATTTGTACAAAAGTACAAACAAACAGCCAAAGCCGAAGCACACCAACACACGCGTCATTAGATGGTCATTTGTCAACGCAGAAATGTTTCCATTTTGGACGCCTTTACACACAAGAGCATGCAGAACAACACCGGATTCCACGGTATCAGTGGATCAAAAGAAATTTACCGTCTTTGGTGAGGATCGAACCCGCGACCTTCGGCTCCGAAGGCTGCCCAAGAAGGCGAAGGCACAGAGTAGTCAAGGCCTGTGAAGTCTTCTTTCCCACTGAGGGCCTGCACAGGAGGCATATCCCTTAAAAATCAGGAAAACAACTGTTGCCCTTTCATATACACAGGAATGGCAAGCAGGCACGCACGCGCATGCACGGCACCTCTCAATATGCGTCAAAAGCGACAGTCTTGAACGTACAAGCGCAAAAAACCTTGGGTAGTCAATCCAGGTGTGCCACTGGCCGTCGCGGTGGTACCTGCAACACATTAATTTTGCAAAGCGATGGGATTCGAGAACGAGTGGGGTCAAGTTGCATGGAGTCTCCAGCCGCAGTCAAATACAATAATAAAGGAGCAGACAGTGAATGATGCACAACAGAGAGATGAGGGGAACAGAAGAACGTTCAAGCCGGAAGGGAAAGAAGGAAGGGAGCGGAGGGGGGAGGGGTTTTGCCCACTTGGAGAGCGCCAACAATACGCAGCACGAGTGTTCGTGCTCCGAGGCCAGCCCATACCTGCCCTCCGGCAGCACCTTCAGTAGCGCCTCAGCGAAATCCAGCACCTGCCACAGTAAAGAAGAGACAAAGTACTAGGCATAGACGCTGAGAGGCACCTATACTGACCCAGTCTGCAAACGAAGCAACTGTTTCCGGCAATCGTTCTAAGAAACCTTGCCGGTGATTTCGTCGTGCTCGGTTTTAATGTGATCGTGCTTCTGCAATGCTCTGGTTGGGGGCCTGCTGCTACGAGCATATAATCGTACAGCAGGGATTGTGTTTGGGAACACATACCTGTTGGTGCCTTGGCACGTTATTCATAGACAAAGACTCCCTATCGAGGCCTCCACAGAATGTCATGCCTTTGATTTCAATTAAATCTGGCTCTCCCCGCAGCACCAGAGAGGCGTAGCCCTCAATCGTGCTGGTCACGTCCACTGCAGCCTTCCCGCGATTTGTGTTAGTGCTGCCGCTACGGCTGCTGCTGCTGGTGCTCCCACTGCTGCTGCTGACTTCAACAGGGCACTCCCTTTCTGCTGTTGTTGGAACTAGACGGCAGTTGTAACCATGCACAAGGGTGAGGCGGAATACAGTCCTCTGCTTCTTCGTCTTCAGGATGTCTATACACCGCAGAAACCGCGCCCAGTAATCCCGGTGCACAGGCTTGTCTGCACGCATCGTTAGCCACGCCATATCACACCATATTGCATGCAGCATCTTACGCAGAAGGAGCATGCGCCACAATACGTGAGTCTGCAAAAGGAGCATGAACAAAGGCACTCTCCCTTGGTGGAAGCCCTTCCAGTTCTTGCAGTGGCTGGAACCAACAATTGCAGGCTGCGCCCACTCTAAGCCCGCAGGACAATCCACAGGTTTCGCCGCACATTTCACTAAGCGGTTATTTGACACAGTTTATATATGCACAATGAGCCGCCAAACAACTGAATGGGATGGCAAAGGGAAGTTGAGAGACCCGACGACGACAGTCAGCAGTCAGGGACGAAGAGAATTCCGGACACACTCAAACCGCGAAAGAAAGAAAGGAGTGCACGAAGGCAAAGATGGACCAGACAAGAAAGGTACACAAGCCAATCGAAGGAGATAGGAACAGAAAGCAAGGCAGATGGAGAATCAAAGGCCCCAGTAGCAGCAACAAAAGGCGCCGGAGAGAGACGACTCAGAGATAGACAAACAAAGACAGAAACATATCATGACAGAAATTATCTTGCCTAGCCGCTTCAGATCGCTCTCTGTTGCTGCATCAATCGACAGATACAGCTGCGTCACGGGCCGCAAGGCACTCAGAGCATCCGGGTGTTGTGCGTTCGTGACCTGAAGAAGCAGACGGCAACCCATCCACGCATTGCCAAATACTCTTAAGGGCCCCAACCGATCTGCTTAAAACCGGCAGCATCAGCGAACCAGCAGCAACAACAAGGGCAGAAGCGACGAAAGAGCCTGAGGTGGTGAGCTCTTGCAGGTTTTGATGCCGCGTTCGCACGAGCAGACGTGCGAAACTGTGAATGGCATCGTGTGTACATTGTATCAGCAGTCAGCAGCAGCATTCAGCAACAGCTGCAGCAGCAGGTGCTTTGCACATGAAGAATCTGACAAGGAAGGTAGAAATGTGTTGCTGGTGCATAAGGAAGAGCAGCTCGTTGATGCGTGGATACATGATGGGCTCCCCCACAAGCGACAAAGCGCAATGCAGCACTTTGTTGTCCACCTGGCTAAAGAAATCCCTTCGCAAACCCGGGAGTCCTAAGGAGGAGACAGGGGCAGAAAAGGACACGGGAATAACGCCAAAGATAGAAAGAGACAAAAGCTGAGAAAGTGGGAACACGTAGAAAGCACCAGAGACACATGGGCAGAAAAGTAGACAGAAACTGCTATGGGCAGATGAAGAAACAGAAATTTCTACATGCTTTTGTCTCTGCGTCTTTCGGTGCTCATCGTTCTAGCTATTTCTGTCTCTCTCCAAGAGAGAAACAGAAGCACGTAGATGGGGGGGAATCAGAAGCAGACGCAAGAATGACAGGGAAAGGTACAGACGGATGATGAGAAGGAGAGAAGGACAGCGGCTAAGAGGCTTTCAGAAACAGTGAGTCCTGCGGCGGGTGGTGAGAGGCAAAAAGACACGTCCTGGCCGATATGAAGAGACAGACCGAAAAAAGACCAACAGAATTATAGGCAGTCAGACAAATACACAGCTACCGTGGGGCAGGTGCAACAGCAAGTAGAGGCACGAGAGGCAGACAGCCAGCCAGCTAGCCAGTGTGTGATAGATACACATAGATAGATAGATATAGATGTAGATAGATAGATAGATAGATATAGATATAGATATAGATATAGATAGATATAGATAGATATAGATGTATGTAGGTAGATATAGATAGATATAGATAGGTAGAGATAGATATAGATAGATATAGATATTGATAGATGCAGATAGATATAGATAGATATAGATAGATATAGATAGATATAGATAGATATAGATAGATATAGATAGATATAGATAGTTATAGATAGAATTAGATAGATATAGATAGAATTAGATAGATACAGATAGATATTGATAGATATAGATAGATAGATATACAGATAGATACACAGACACACAGTGTGTGTGTGTTTGAGTCTGTGTTTATGTCTGTGTTAATGAGCTGTTGGTTGAGCGTTTGACTGGGTGTACCTTTGAGTTCCTTGATAGCAATGAGGTGTCTGGAGACCGCATCCCGTAGGATATCCGCTGGTTCGTCTGCCTTCCAACGCCAGTCCCCCGCGGCCAAGTTGGTGTGGTGGCGCCAGCAGAAGAGGCAGCGATTTGCACAGGCAACAGAAGCGGTGAATTCCATGCAGCCGTAAGACTTAATTCCATAAAAGGTGTGTTTATAGCAACCCCCCCTACCACGCAAGGCAGCTCGCGTCCACCTGCACACCTTCACTGCCGAGTGGGTCCCCACCAACTTGTAGCCTTCCTTCGTCAAGTTGCGCCGCAGGCTTGCCGTCAGCTGTTCAGGCATATCGCCCACTCCAGTTCCTGCTGCTGCTGTTGAAGCTGCTGCTGCTAATAAAGATGATGAAGGCGAGGAAGAGGATACGGTTCCACCTCCGAGGTCCTCCATATCCGATGCTCCCTCACCGCATCCGCCCACGTAACTGTGAAGCGGTTGCTGCTGTTCTGCCTCCTCCTCGTCTGTGCTGCCATAGCTGAACTCACTCAGGTTGCTTGAAGCCCCGTTATCATTGCATTCACCTGTGTCCGTTGCTGTTGCTACTGTAACCTGCTGCCTATGCAATGCGAGCTGCAGCGCACGCTCTGTCCACTGGCAATATTTGCTCGCAGTCGTCGACGGAGAAGCACCGGTGCACAACGTTAAGGAGAAAAGTTGTTGCTGCTGCTGTTGGTGTGGCCGTCGTTGCTGTTGCCTCTGGAGAGATGCTGCCCCGAGTCGAGCCAGGTTCCCTCCTAACTTCTTGAGGAGCCTGTTGGTTCTGCTGCTAAAGCTGTTCCCGTTTACGGCTGCTCGACAAAGATCGCCCATCTTACTCTGTTCGGTCAGCTGCTGCTCCTGAAGCTGTTGCTGCTCACGCTCAGAAGGCTGAGACACTTCCCCTGTTGCAGCCGTTGCTGTGTCGCAACATACCACAGAGAGAATGCATCGCTGCAGAGGTTTGTGGCAGACTCTTCTGTCGGTGAGCGCCTCCGCAGCTTCAGCAGCAAGCGCAGCGGAGGACCCCACGAGACGGCCATTTTCCGACTCCACAAATAAAAATACATACACCTCTTGCTCCTTGCTGCTGCTGCTGCTGCTGGCACTGCTGCTACTTCTACTGCCACCGCTTTTGGTGAGGCCCGCGCACAAATCAAACAGGTCCTCCAACGGAGAAGAACTCAACGCCTGTGGTGTTCCTGCTGATGTTGCAGCAGCAGCTCTTGCTGCCATAGAGGGCTTCTGCTGCTGCTGTGGGAGGTTCCCTGCTACAGAGGAGCAGCAGCTGCTTCTGGTGCTGCCCCACACGAGGCCCTCTACAATTAGCGAAGCCGTATCCCGCCGCTGGTCTCTCTGCCTGCTTCGCTTCTGCTGCTCCGACTGCTGCAAGAGCTGCTGTACCTGCTGCTGCTGGTCCTTCAATGCCGCTTGAAGCTGTTGACAGAATAGCAGCGCGAGACCCTGACAGAGCCGCCCGTCAGGGTCGTACCAAACCCTGTATGCCACGTTGTCACTGTTGCTGCTGCAATTGCCGGATTTCCCCCGGTCACTACTTTCATGTACCGCACCGCTGCAACTACAGCAGCTGCTGTCCAACTCTTCGCGCGACTGCATCATGCTGGTGCAGCAACAACCGTTGTTGCAGCAGCTGTTTCTGCCACTTCCCAAAGACGTACCCACATTGCAGAACTGCCCGCCACCGCTGCCGCATGCATATGAGCCATCATGAGGAATCTCGAACGGACGCAATGAAGCAACTGCACCTTCTGCTTCGGCAGATGCATTTGCAGCATCGGCCGGTGGCTTGCAAGCATGTCTCTCGAGGACCCTAAGAATCTTGTCATTGAGTCTGCCAAGAGAAAACATAATGCAAAGTGATGCAGCGGCAACAAGGGAGAGAGGCGGCGAAGCCCCAGTGGCATCTCTCGGGAGTCGCGAAGCATGGGCGGTTATTCAGAAAGAGCCGCCGCTAACTGCTCCATTTGCTGCTCCACCTTTGCTGCAATGAATAGCATATTGGAGAAAAACAACTAATTAAATTCGTTCTAACGACATGCATTTCCCAAAGGTGGAAGACTGTGGGGCCCATCGAGAGGAGCTGCAGCCCCAAAGGGTGCCTCAAAGAAGGTCTCACCAGCAGCAACACCAACGGTTCCGAAAAGGACATGTACCTGTGAAGGCTGGAACAACAACAATACCGATGCAACTTCCTTTTGCCGTTTTGTAACTGGATCGTATAGTGGCTGCCACCTCACAATGCAGTAGAGGCCCGTTCACTTCCCCAGTCAGATATGGGCCTAGCCAAACGTTGACTTCAGCGGCAGCTACTGTAGCTGCAGCAGCTGCAGCAGCAGTAGCTGCTGCTGCTGTTTGAAACCCTGGATAGAAAGGGCTACATCTTTCATCTGCAGTTGTCTCTTGGGCTCCCAATGAATAGACTGCCCGATGAATGGCACTGGCAGCAGGAACATAAGCCACAGCAGCAGTAGCAGAGACCTACGGCCGGTATCGCTGCTGCTTTTTCTGCTCTTTCCGTATGGACTTGTGAATCTCCAGTGCCTGGTGAGGACGGAGATGCGGCGGCAGCAGCAACATGTACGATGTTGCCGCCAGCAAGCAGAACAGCAGCATCTGACAATTCATAGTAGGCAGTCGCTAACAGTGGGGGGCGGAGCAGCTGCTACACCCGCAGGAGCTGTCGCCGATGCGCATGCCCATTCTTTCACGAGTATGTTATCTTCTGCTGTTGCTGCTGCTGCAGTGCAGCAATCTGGCCGTCACGTCCCTGCATGCCCGATGCAATTTTCTCTTGGACTGTCGTTATAAGCCCAGACATCTCGCAGCGGCATCTCACTGGTTTGGGGGCAACAGAACAGCAGCAACAGCAGCGGCAGTTGCAGCACACACATATCTTCCCACCATGCGTCTCCCAGCCTCAGGATCTGTCAGAGCAGTAGCTGCTGCTCTCACCCCCAACAGGCTGCTTCGTCAAACTTCACTGCATTACCAACAGCAGCTGCAGCCGCAGAGAACGCACCGTAGGACAGCAGTGCGCCATCCTTCTTTAGCTCGCCGCTTGCGCGCGGCTACCAGGATCCCTTGCTTGGGGTGGCAGCAACCGAAGCAGCTGCTGGGCTGCAATAGCTGCAGCAGCGCTAGCCGGTGTAGCATCTTCAGGCCCTGCTCACCTACGCGTACGCAGGCAACTGCAAAGGGATCCTCGTCGAACCCGGACCCAGCAGCAGCAACATCTGCAACAGTAGCAGTAGATGCTGCTGCTCACGCATCGCTGTGCAGCAGAATAACCGAGTTGAGTAGGGCCTATTATTCGGGTGAGGAGCCGATGGCTTCTGATGAGGAGTTCGACGCCTTATGGCTTCAGCTGCGGAAGCTGGAACAGGTTAGGAGCAACGGCAGAAACAACAGCAGAGGTAGCAGCAGTCGGGGTAGCCGCAGTGGAAAATGGTGCCGTAGCCGATGCAGAAACAAGGATTGACGGCTGCTGCTTTTCCAACAGCTTGGGGAGAGAAGTGACATATCAGAGGGCGCGGAAAGCCTGCAGCAGCAGGACTGCAGCAGCAGAAGACGGTGTTACATTGGGTAATGCTACAGCTGCTGTTTGTGCCTATTCTGGATTTGTGCTGAGAGCTACATGCGTACTGTTGCTCGCTGTCTGCGCTGCAGAAGTACCCTCGACTTCGCCGCCCAGACAGTCCGCTGCAGCGCATTGGAGCGGGGCCCGCGGTACAAACAACAACAACAGCACCAGCAGCGGACTGCGAACACCTCTCGCCAGTTCTCTCCTTAGATAGTGTTCATTTGCCCACGGAGGCCAACAGCCTTTTCCGCAGACTCGACAGGTAGCCCACTGAAATGGGTTTAGGGTTTGGGGTTTAAGATTTGTGAAGGTAGAGCTCCGGGTTATTGGTGTAATCTTGTTCTGTTGTCGATGAACATGAGGGCGCCTAAGCTTCATATAAGCAGGCGAAGTTGTCAACTTCTCTCTTGCCGCCTTGTTGCTGCTTGCCGGTTCAGGTTTGTTTTGAAGGCGCTGCAGGCTGGGGCCAGGACGTCCGGTGGGAGGAAACGTTGGCGAGGAGGCACTTCGGAGGTTGATGCAGTAGGAGGAGCAGCTGCTGCTGGTGCTCATGCTGGAGGCTCCGGCGAGCCAGAACGCGCAGCAGCGCCGGCAGCAGGTGGAGCAGCAGCGGAGGCGTTTTCTGCAACGCTGCTAGTGGAGCCTAAAATCGACGGGCAGAGCGTTTCTCTTACATACCAGCTGATTAGCAGCAGCAGCAACGGCGACGGAAGCAACACCAGCAACTGCACCGGTAACAGCAGCATTCAATGCAGCAGTAGCAGCACCAGCAACAGAAGAGGTAGCGATACCCGCAAACATGTAGCCCAATATCGCCTTGTGAGGGCATTGACACGAGGTGACGGGCGGCGGGGTGAAGATATAACTGTTAAGGCGCTGCAGATGGGGAGGAAAGGATATTTGCCCCTTGTGATGGAAGTTTCAGCAGGAGTCACCCCAGAGACGACAGGAACAGCGACAGCAGCAGTAGCAGAACGACCAGCAGTAAGCGCAGGGACGTCCGTATTTAAGGATTGGCTGTGCTCCCTGCCCCAGCAATTGGAGGTGAGGGGGGAGGCCTTCGTGAGTCTGTCAACTCTTTGGCTTTTAAATCGCGACAGGAACTCAAAGGGCTTGAAGCCCTTCGCGTCTTCCAGGTGTGCCTACACTTCAGACACTGCTCTCTTCCGAGCGATGACTGCAAAGCAAAGCAGTTAGACAGACCAGCGGAGCGTCCGCTGTGGTGGCGGTGTGGACGAGGCTGTGCAGTGGAAAAAAGGGTCTAGACGATGATTACAGCTTAGAAGTGCCTCGGCTGCTGCTGTTGTTGCTGCAGGCATGCCGTCGTAGGGCTGCTGCGCCGTCTCGAGACCGCCGGCAAAGAAGATCGAGATGCCGTCCGTTTTTGCGCATACGGGCTTGTGGGGTCCCCGGGAGCTGTGCCTTCTGTACACCCCACTGAAAAAAATGAGAACAGTAGCAACCGCGCAACAGCGAGCACTGCTGCTGCCACAGTTGGTGCTTTTGCTGCTGGTGTGTCTACTCAACTGGAGCTGCTGCAGCGGCTGCAGCAGTGGGGCTTTGACGTCGCGCTGCCACATTGCCGTGTGGTGAAGAACCGAAGGGAGGCGCTCGAAGCGTTTGAAGAACAAAGCAGAGCACACGAGGTGTACGTCGCACAGCTGCAGGGCGTCCTCCGAAGAGGAGCTGCTGCTGTAACAGCGAGCGATGTACCTGCGTCGACTCCGTCTGGAGCTACCCCCGTGTCAGCATCTCCTTGTGGCGGCGATGCTACACTTGCTGCTGCTTCAGCAGCAGCAGAAACTGCTACTGCAGCTACTGGTGCAGCTGCAGCGGACTGTTGGAGGGCTGCCAGACTGCCTGTACGGCTGGAAGACATTCCGTGCGACGGTGTTGTGTACAAAGTGAATTTATTGCTGCTGCAGCAGCAGCTGGGCAGCACAGCGAGGGCACCCCGTTGGGCATTCGCTTTGAAGTTTCCAGCCGCGGAAGCGTCGACGGCGGTGATGGGACTGGAATGGACTGTTGGATCGTCAGGCGTATGCACGCCTGTGGCATTGCTACAGCCGGTGCTGCTGGGGGGTGTTTCGCTTTCCAGGGCCTCGTTGCACTCTCCGCAGGAGCTGCGGCGGAAAGACATCCGTGTGGGAGACCGGGTGTACGTGCAGCTTAAGGGGGAATCGGTGCCGCAGATCGCAGCTGTCGATCTGCAAGCGAGAAAGGAGGAGACGGTGCCTGCCTCCCTTCCCACGCACTGTCCTTCTTGCGGCAGAGACCTGATAGAGCGGCCAGTCTCCACAGACAGAACCCGCAACCCAAGGCCCCGGCAAAGGATGTCTGAGCCGGCAACAGAGGGGGCAGTTGCCGCTGGTGCTGCTGCTGCAGCTGCTGGACGGGGTGCGGCTGACCAAGAGCCGCAAATGCAGGGAGTGCTGTGGTGCCCCGGGGGTTGGGCATGTGGGTCGCAGCGGCTGCAGCGGCTTTTACGTTTCTTTTCGAGGGAGGGCGTTGCGGTCCCTGGGTTAGGGCCCCGCGTTTTGGAGTCCCTGATTGCTGGGGGGTACGTAGGGGCCCCCATCGACGCCTTTTACCTGGCCGAGCGCGACCGGCAGCGGGTGGCTGCAGGAGAGCTTGGGCTGGCAGACTGGCCGGGATGGGGACCGCAGGCTCGCGACGCGCTGTTTAGAGAAATAGAACAAGTACGTCACAGAGGCGTGCTGCTGCAACAGCTCCTCTTCGCTCTAGGGGTGCCGGGCATGGGAAGGAAGGCAAGCGCAGCGGTGGCGCAGCAGGCCAAAACCCTGAGCGGCTTCCTCGCTCTCCTAGACAGCCTCCAGGTTCCGCACCAAACCACACACACATTGCAAATGCCCAATACACCCCCCGACCCCCCACGTGAAGACGGCCAAAGGCTGCAGTTGACACAAAGAGGAACATCACACATTCAACCCCCTCGAAGACAACGAAGCAGGATTACCATTGCACAAGAGCAGCTCGTAGGCCCATGCCAGCGTGGAACACCTGCTTCTGAGGGCCCCACGGAAGCTACAAATGTAGTCGGGAGCCCCCTCGGCTTGGGCGTAAATAGCGTTGGGGATATTGAGCCGGCCTTGTTGGAAGAGTTGCGAGTGTTTGCGCGGGATGTGCGGAATAGACAGCAGTTGCTGCAGGTGGCAGAAGCAGTGCCTGTGCACCCCGTGTCTGCAACGGGGAGAGACCCTCCGAAGTTGACCTGAAAGGGAGCGGCAGCGACTGCTTGCGCTTAAAGTTGCGGTACATCCCAATTGTCAATCGCCCGATGAGAGGCGCGCAGACAGAGGAATCGAGCGGGCAGCGGCTCCCGTATCCGTTCTATTTTTATTCCGACGGCAGAGTCCGCAGGTGACGAACTCCGAATCCAGACACACCATGGGAGGGGCTTGTAGTAGACAGGCCTCGACAAAACTCCATTTACTGGTTCAGGGTGTGCTGTAGCCCCGGTGGATGGGGAGAGAGGGACTGCTGCAGCTGCCCTACGCCTGCAGTAGTCCTGGGCAACAGAAGAATGCAATGAACAGATGTATAGCATTTGGACAGGCAAAGCCGTGTGGCCGGGTAGACGGTAGGGTGACCGGACAGCCAGGGAAGCCACAAGCACGTGTGTTTGCATGCGGGTTTGTCGTCTGCATTGGTCGTTCGTTCTGTCTGTTTTTTGTGTTGCGCCGTTTGCATCTGTATTGCTTGCATATGAAGAGTGGGGTCGAGTACCCTTTGGGACTGGGGGAGTGGCTAGCTAGCCATGGCGGAGTTATCGAGCTATTAGCCAGCCACCTGCTCGGCTACAGCTGGGAGGGTACCTCGAGTTCCCTCAGTGGTTTCCTCTAACTGTTGCAGCGAGCACCGTCAATTCAACGGCAATGGCTAACACCACAGCACGCACAGAGGTACAAAAGACAGTCCTTTGAACCGCCACCGCACTGTGGACGAGCGTCCCCTCAAGGCCGTGCAGGGTTGCTCCTCCAGCCGCTGGTGCAGAGACAGCATGCGACCCCGATATGGGGCGAGCTAATTTACACCTCTAAACCAACATCGATGCGCCCCTCCCGGGCTCCACCTCGCTACGCCAGAACTCTTGTTTTTGTTTCACGACCAGCCGCAAACTTTTAAGATTGCCTTGTTGACAGCAGCAACATTAGTTGCTGCGGATGCAGTAACGGCGTAAGGATCCAAACGGCCTTGGGAAAGGGGGGGCGCGGTGGGGGCCC